GCGGCCCGCGCCCACGCGGCTCACCTCGGTTCTCCTCCTCCAGATGCCGCACCCGCAGCTCGTCCTCCGTCTTCCCCTCCGAGCTGTAGCCCCTCCTCTGGGCGGGACCCCCGGCCGCGGGCATCCAGCTGTGGGCCCCGAGCGCTGGGCCCAGCCGGCCAGCCGCCCAGGAACCTGACAACCTCCACCCTGGACCGAGCCGCGTGCAGCAAGCGGCCACTAGGCGGGCCCGGCCGGCCTGTAGGGCACCCAAAGCTCCGGGTGCCGCCGCTACCGCCATATTGTCTGTTTACAGCGTGGGTTCACCACGGCTGCTCCGCCCCCGCCTGCTCCCACACGCATGCGCACGGCATCCCCACCGCGCCCCCGCCTCACGGCCACGCCCCTCCCTGTCACGTGCCCATGCCTCTCTGCGTCCGCCCCGCCCCAGGTCCCTTCACTGAGCAGACTTAGTGTCAGCCTTCGCACTGCTGGGAGGGTTTTCCAAAACTGTGATACAGTTGAACCGTTGCGAACGACAGAGAGGAAATTACCTCTGCACTCCTGGGCCCAGGCCCTGGAGTACTGACTGGTGTTAAAAATAAGCTGCGGCCAGGCTCTGGCGGCTCACGCCTGGGATTCTAACGACTCGGCCGGCTGAGATCTGAAGATCACAGCTGGAAGCCAGCCTGGGAAGACGAGTGTCCGTGAGACTCTCGTCTCCACTTATCCACCCAAAATCGGAAGTGGAGCTGTGGCTCTACGAGGTAGAGCCTCTGGCAAACAAGTTCAGGGACAGTGCCCCGGCCCTGAGTTCAAGCCCCATGACAAAAGTAAATAAAAAGTAAGCTGCGACAAGTCCACCAAAATGTTCTGGGTCCTTAGCTTTCGCTGAAAACTGTGGTAAGTCAGTGGGGCACTGCTTTACTCCAGGGTCACAGTCACTGGTTGTCTATTAAACGTGCCTGATAAGCCTAACCAATGTTGGTTCCATGGAGTTTCAGCTAGAAAGACACGCACGCGCGCGCGCGCGCGCGCACACACACACACACACACACACACACACACAGGTATGCTACTTGAGCATAATGCTATGGCCACAGGGATTCTATTATACATTGTGTTTTGAGTCCTTTATAAATAAGTGCTTAGCGCTTATCTAAAGTGGAAGGAAAAGGCCGTTGGAATTCTGTCGCAACGTCTATAGGAATGACTTGGAGGGCACACTTTACTGTGTCTTCACAAAATGGGCAATTTATCTGAAAGATCAGGTAGAGGAAAAAACTTTGCTTCCATTGTGTCTTTCTTCTTTTCTAATAATGATATTCACTTGGGCTGCTAAGCATTGAGTTTTTTTTTTCTTTTTTTGTGAATATGCAGGTACTGGGGCTTCAACTCAGGGCTTCACACTGTTGCTTGGCTTTTTCACTCAGGGCTGGCTCTCTACCACCTGTGGCTTTTTGATTGTTTTTTTTGTTGTTTTTTGTTTTTTTGTTTTTAGGTCCGGTCCTGGGGCCTGAACTCTGGGCCTGGGCGCTGTCCCTCAGCTCTTCAGCTCAAGGCTAGCGCTCTACCACATGAGCTACAGCGCCATTTCCGGCTTTTTTCTTTTTTTCTTTGTGGTGCTGAGGAATCGAACCCAGGGCCTCATGCATGCAAGGCAAGCGCTCTACCACTGAGCCACCTTCCCAGCCCCTTTTTGATTGTTAATTGGCAATACGAGCAGCATCAAACCATAATCCCTAGATCTCAGTCTGCTGAGTATGTAGAATTATAGGCATGAACCACTTGTGCTCAGCCTCAGTGTTGAGATTGTTTTTTCCCTAATCTGGTTTTGTGGTCTCTACAGGAGAATAGGAAGTCTAGAAATGACTGGAGGTCATCTAGTGGACAAAGCAGAAAGATGATAGATAGATAGATAGATAGATAGATAGATAGATAGATAGATAGATAGATAGAGATAGATAGATAGATAGATAGATAGATAGATAGATAGAT